TTGTAGCCTTGCTCTTGGTCTTGCTAATATAAAGACAGTATTGGTATTGGTCTCCAATTTTCTTCTTTTGTTGCTGATCTTCAACTCGTATGAGGTCCTTGTTAATTCTGTCTAAGTAGATGGTCGTTTTTAATGCTCTTTTACGGCTCAGTTTCAACTCCTGTATGCTGTTCAATGTTTCGTCCTGAAAATATTCCATCTGTAACCAGACGGGTAATGACTAATGCATTCTCTTTTTAATCTTTAGGTTACTGTTTTGCTCTTTTAGCGTTTAATCATAGTTTGTAAAACATGATGCCATGCTCGGCCTTTGTTCTCTTTTAACTCGCTCGCGTTACATTTTCGCCACAATGTTTCCAGGCACCTTCCGTACAAACATAAATTAAAAATGTTTGCTTACCTTTTCCGCNGAAGAGGTATTGGAAAGAATAGGAGAACAGAGGACTCTATGGAAGTCAATAAAAAATAGGCGAGATAGGTTGGTAGGATACCTTCTGAGGCATGTAGGTCTAGTCAGAGACTTATTAGGGATAGAAACGGAAGTTAGGAGGGGTAGATGTAGACCTATATTGGATTACTGTTTGCAAATAGTTAAGGATATGGGTTGTTTAAGTTTTAGGAAAATGCGAAGATTAACTCAGGATAGGAAAGAGTGGAGATACGTGTCCAGTCTTAAGACTGACGGTCGTATGATGATGATGATGATGATGATACGAAATGAAACCCCTATATAATCATTGACGTGTCTGCCTGTTTGTCGTCTAATTATAGCGATAAGCAAAACAAGACCAATATCAAGACTGGAACAAACTCTAGTCTTGGTCTTAGTCTTTCTGAGAAAATCTAAACAAATCTTGCGTATTTGGCCTTGGTATTGAATATTCGGTTTTGTTTTTAGTCTAGGTCTTGCTCGTTCGATCTTGGTTGTAGGCTTGCTCTTGGACTTGCTAGTATAATGACAGTATTGGTATTGGTCTTGCATTTTCTTAAATATTTGGAACTCTTTTGTGCTGATCTTCAAGTCGTGTGAGGTCCTTGTTAATTCTATCCAATTAGATGGTCGTTTTTAATGCTCTTTTACGGCTCAATATCAACTCCTGTATGCTGTTCAATGTTTCGTCCTGAAAATATTCCGTCTGTAACCAGATGGGTAATGACTAATGCATTTTTTTTTTAATCTTTAGGTTACCGTTTTGCTCTTTTAGCATTTAATCATAGTTTGTAAAACATGATGCCATGCTCGGCCTTTGTTCTCTTTTAACTCGCTCGCGTTACATTTTTGCCACAATGTTTTCAGGCACCTTCTGCACAAACATAAATTAAAAATGTTTGCTTACCTTTTCCGCTGAAAAATTAACGGATTCACGCTAGGTGACACGAGCGTTAAAACAAGAGAGAAGCGACTGTTCTTCATTAAATCTCGTCGTATAGTATCCGCGAGGGGTTTAAACCGAGGCTTGTTTCTAAGCCCGGGTTACAGGACCGAGAATGCCGACAGATCCAAGTAGGATATGCATTGGTGTCGTATCACTGACATCAACTCTGATACACACACACGCATATATATATATATGTATATACTACAGACAGCTTGTACAAACAACAATGTTGGATTGTCACTTCTCGAATTTCATCGCATCCCTAAATAAGTTACACGACGGGGGTTGTAACTGTCAAATTAATAATTTAGGTCACACCAGCACGTTGTTGATACCGCCCACACTACATGCCTGTGGGGATTCTCCCGTCTTTCTCTCTCCTTTGCCGAAGCCGTGGACTTAATTAACTGGCTCTTTAAAATTTTAGAACGCACATAATGCTGGTCGGCTTGTTGACGAAGATGCGTTCGCGTTTTTTATTTTTATTTTTTCCTATTGTATGTTTCGAAATACTGTTCTAAGCAGGTACGTCGCCTGGATGGTTAATACTTAATTGATATTTGCGCAGAGTAGAGTGGAATAAAACAGCATTGTATTAATGTAATTAGCAACCCCATACTCAGGCCGATCTAAAGTAATCGTAAATATTAAACCCAGGTAAAGGTATACGGGGCCTGTTCAAAAATTGTCGCGACAGGTGCTTTGCTTGCACGTGTTTTGGCTCATCTTCGATTTTTGCCTGTTCCAAGAAATGGATCAAAGAATCTGTATCAAATTTTGTATGAAAAACAAAATTAAGTGCGCGGACGCATTCCGAATGATAACTACGACTTATCGTAAAACTATCGTGGACCGATGCAACGTTTATCGATGGTACAATATGTTCTCACAGGGCTTAGAAGATGTGAACGAGCTCGAGCACGTTAACAACAGACGAAAAATGAAGATTGGAAAAACTTTGGCGGTTGTTGTAGAACAAACAGAATAGCTCAAAACCCCAACGCCAAAACACGACACTGTAGTTGTCCGAAGCNGCATTGTATTAAAGTAATTAGCAACCCCATATACAGGCCGATCTAAAGTAATCGTAATTATTAAACCTAGGTAAAGGTATACGGGGCCTGTTCAAAAAGTGTCGCGTGCTTCCACGTGTTTTGGCTCATCTTCGATTTTTGTCTGTTCCAAGAAATGGATCAAAGAATCTGCATCAAATTTTGTATAAAATCAAAATTAAGTGTGCGGACGCATTCCGAATGTTAACTGCGACATATCGTAAAACTATCTTGGACCGAAGCAACGTTTATCGATGGTACAATATGTTCTCACAGGGCCTAGAAGATGTGAACGAGCTCGAGCAAGTCAACAACAGACGACAACATTAATAAAGTGATGAAAATAGTAAATTAGTACATCCTAACCGTCGAATCATCGTTAGAGAAGATGCTGAAGACCTTAACATATCAATTGACTCCTACCATTCGATTTTTACTAATGATTTGGGCATGAGACGGGTCGTCGCGAAATTCGTACCAAAATTGCTCCAGGATTACATTACCATTACTAAGGAGCTAGTGGGCTTTGTCCGCGACGACTCAAATTTGCTCCAGAGGGTTATAACTGGTGATGAATCATGGGTTTATGGTTATGACGTGGTAACCAAAGCTCAATCATCCCAATGGAAGCTGCTGCACGAACCAAGAACGAAAAAAGCGCGCCAAGTTAGTTCGAATGTTAAGGTTTTGCTTACAGTTTTCTTCAATTGCATGGGTTTGATGCATCATGAGTTCTTGCTACAGGTAGAACAGGCTAAAAACAACTCACTAATAATACCGCAGTCACCGTGTTTCCCAGATTTGACCCTCCGTGACTTTTTCTTATTTGAAAAGGAGGCCCACGAAAGGACAACGTTACCCTACGATTGAAGAGATAAAGACGGCATCGAAGGGGGAGCTGAACAAGATCACAAGAAATGATTTTTTAAGGCGCTTTGAGGATTGGAAAGAACGTTGGCACAAGTGTATAATATCTGTTAGAGATTAATTTGAACGGGGCGAAATAGGTGTTCAAGAATAAATAAATAATTTTTGAAAGAACACGAAATTCGCTTTTTGAACAGATCTCGTACTAACGATTAAAGCAGATTGATTCGATCAAAAATATATTCTATTGTGAACAGTAAATAAAATAAACGATTTGCTTCTCGCTGCAAGCGTTACAGTCATATTTACTGTATATATTTCCGTCTACTAAATCACGGACTAAGAAAATAGACACTAAGAACATCGCTGAAAACAAAGACTCGATGAATTAGGACAATTGGAAACTCATTGTAAGGTAACAAATAAATGAAGAATATTAGCAAAACTAATTTACAGAGGTAATTAAAGTAATTGTAGATTAATATAATTTCCGCGTTGTTCAGCGAATTACCCCACGTGTAAAGATCCCTCCGTCTTTCTAGTAACATGAGGGAAAATGGTGGAAATATTTGCTATCCTTGTCTATTAATTTTCACCCGAACAAGGTAATTTAGCATTGTCCTGCAGGATGCCGGGAACATAAACAAGTCAGCGTGAATCCACAATGAAGCACGACTTCCCCAGGTCAAAACCTGGGATGTTATAAATGTGTTATTTTTTCGGGACAGCCATTTGAAATTTCCGGTAACAAATACATCCATGTATGTATCGTATGTATTTATGATGTTGTTTCTGGAACAATGGCGCTTGTGGGAATGCTACTAGTAGGGAGCAGGAAATGTGCTGTAGCTACAATTTATTGGAAACTAATGCTGTTGAACTACGATATTCCTTGGTGGTATTAATTTCGAAAGGACAAATAGTATTTCTGCAAGTTAGTAACTGGCAAGAATTAACACATTTTTCGTTAGTTTTTATTTTTCATTTTTTTTAGTTTTGAATTTAGTGGTAAGTACTTTCATACGATGGTCTTCCAATCAAACGATTCAATTGACTAATTTTGGCTTTGATTTTCGTACATATGGAGCATGGATGGAAAACACAATTAAGTTTAGTTGAATAAAGTGTACTGTACATACAGGGCGATTCATGAAAGTTTCAACACCGTTTAGAAATCAATCAATCCAAACAAGTAAAAGTTGATTGATTGATTGCCACCTTTAATGATGTGCATTTTTGTAGTTTAAATCAAAAATTTGTACTATTTTACGTTTATTTCTTTTAACCATTGATATTTCGTGTTATTTATTAAACACCGTGTATAAAGTTTGATATGAAGTGCTTTATAGGCGGAAAAATTGTCTTTCTAATGGTAAATTAATTTAAATTTTAATTTCTGTTTATTTCAGTGAAAAACTTAATTAGAGAGTAAAGTGGAACTTATGTGAATTAAGCTGTTAATTTCAATAATTATAACTTAATAAAAATGCCCAGTTCTAAAAAATAATTATTGCTCTTTACATGAAAATCACTGTTAAATTATATGCACTTGAAAGGCTGTTTTACGCATGCTCTTCGCGTCTTGCTGCATCCTGGACGCCGGCGTCGGTGCCGTCCTGACGGTGGCGACGACGTCGTGTCCGCTATTCGCGTCACGACGCATTTTACGGCTTTTTGAGAATGAATGTAAACGTTCGAGACGCTTTTTAAATATCGCGGCTGCCCACTGTCCTTTACTCTTTAGTCTAAATTTTTCGAAAACAGAAAAATCAAATCTAAATCATGTCAGCCACTGCGAAATTTTTGAAATTACTTTTTGTTGTACAATCGGTCGCTGGTTATGAGAAAGAAACTTTCGGGTTTCCAAAGAGAGAGAGGGGTAAGTGATTTACTGTTTTATTTTTATAAAATATAGTAATTAGAGTAAGTATGTAAAGTTGATTTTTTGATTATACTATTTATAATATTTTTTACTTTTAGGACACCTTCTCAGGCAT